GCGGCCGGTGGGTGGGGGCCATGCTGGGGCTGGCCCCTGTGTAACCTATTTAATGTCTATTTTCCTCTTTAGAAAGTAAGTTGCAGGGGACAGATCCTTTGTCTTGTTTACGGCTGTACCCTGGGCCCCTAATAGCATTGGGCATTCACTCACTCATTTGACAAATTGTTGGGGGGGGGGCTGTCACGTGCCAGGGAGGGGAGTAACAATGTGCCAAATACTGACTGTCCTTTTTTTAATGTTTTTATTTCTTTTTAGAGAGAGAGGGAGAGGGAGAAAGAGAAATATCAATGCCAGAGAGTGAAACATGGACCAGCTGCCCCCTGCACCCCCCGCCCCCACCACCTCCACTGGGCATGTGCCCTGACCAGGAATCGAACCTGCAACCTCTCAGTGCCCGGGATGACGCCCAAACAATGGAGCCACACAGCCAGGGCAGCACTGACTGCTCCTAGGGAACTTCCATCTGGTGGGGAGGGGCGGAGACAGACACAGGGTATTGAGTGCTCAGCGCATAACGCAGCGCCTGTACCCTGGGGAGCACCCAGGAGTTCACCTGTGAGCGGGACCTGGAGGGAGGGGTTTTGGGAGGTCGGGGAGAGTCCAAGACAAGGGTCCGGGCCCTGAGTGAGAGCAGTGTGGTGGGAGGCAGCACAGGGGAGAGGAGTAGGGGTGAGGCTGGGACCTTGGAGCACTGGAGGGTTTCAAACAGAGTGACCGTCTAATCTGTGGACAGACTCACGCTGGCTGTTGAGAGCCTGCAGAGCTCCGGAGGGAGCAGGGTGAGGAGCCCCGCCAGGCAGGGGCCCCTCCCCACCCTCCCCCAGACCCAGGGTCCTTGCTCGCTTCACCCTCAGGCCCTGCCTGGGCCTCCTCTAGGTCTGAGGTCGCAGGAGGCCTGGAGTAGCTGCCCGACTGCAGACACTTGTCAAGTTTTCCGTTTCCAGAGTAATTCTGTGGACCCCACTGCCCTGTATCTGAGACAAGACAGCCACCCAGTGGTAATTTTTCTAAATTTTTTATTTTATAGCAATTGTCATGATAGAGAATAACACATTTAAAAACCTCCTCAGGGCCAAAGGATGCCAGAGTATTTACAAACACATGGGGGGGGGGTGTCAATATATGTGGGGCTGGGGGGTCCCACCCAGGTCCTGAGCCTGGCTACGATGCCGCCACAACTGTCCCATCGGCCACAGCGAGGGGCTCAGGGAGCATGGGTGGGCTTGAGGCTCTGCTCAGGGGCCTGGCAGACCCGCTAGCTAACTTGTGGCCCTGCCTCCTGCCCAGGGGGCTCCCCACACCCTACAGGCCAGCTCAGAGGGGCCTCTGGGAAGCACCAAAGGACAGGGGGCCTGCCCAGGGTGGGACAGAGACGTGGCGCGTGCGCGCACACACCTCACAGAGGAACAGCAAGGGGAGGATTTCTTTAAAGTTTTTTTTTGTTTTGTTTTCTAAGTCTTCATGTCTACGGTGTTACTTTTTGCTATTTATTTTTTGTTTCTTCGACAGTGACATAAACTGAGGTAAACATCTGTGACCAACACCTCTCCTAAGGGGCAAAGGGTCCCAACCAACCCGCAGCGCAGCCGGGGCAGCAGCGGCCACAGCGGAGCAGCCCTGGTTCCAGCCCTGCTGAGTCAGCGTCCCTGCCCCAGCTGTGCCCTGAAGATGCTGGGCTACACAACTACCGTCCCTTCCCAGCGCTAACATCCTAGCTACTAAGACGAAGATCTCAACAGAGAGAGGGAGAGGACGCACGCGAGGGACATCTACTTGGAATCTCGCTTCCTTGTTATTGCAGGAGACAGGATGTCGAAAGGCCTAAGGCAAAAGGAGAGGTGCCGGTGGTGGGCTCCGGGGTCCGGGGTCCGGGGCAGTGGCGGGCCTTGGCCCTTGGTGAAAGAAGGGGTTTGCTACTTACCTGGCGTGTGGAGGCCCCGCTGCCTGCTGGCGAGGTGGGTCTTGAGGGCGCACACCGAGGGGTGGGGGCCAGGCCCTGGGGCAACCTGTTTGTAAACTGGACCCAGGCAGGGCAGGGGGACCTATAGCCCTTTTGTGCGGTGGGAATAAGGGGTGAATGGAGGGGGGCTCCAGGCCAGAGGGTGGTCGGGGCTCCTCTGGTCAGCCTGGCCCATTACAGAGCCCCCTCAAATGGCCAGAAGGGACCTGGCAGGTGGGGCGCATGGTGGTGAATGGTGCACTGCCAGGCAGAGGGGGCAGCCTCACCATGTTGAGGTTATTGCAGGTCCTGGGCCTCCACAGCGGGCCGGGAGCTGAGGGAGCCCTGGGTGAGGCTGGGCTCCTCTCCGCTGTTGTGCTGCCTGGGGCCTGAACCAACCTGCAGGTGCCTCCTGGCGGATTCCCTGAGGGGGTGGTGAGAAGCAGGCCTGGTGCCCTCCGGCAGCTGCCCGGCAGGAGCCCTGGAGCAGGGAGGAGTTGCTGAGGCCTTGACGCAGTCACTCGACACACAAGGCTACACGCACACGTGTGCACTCTGTGCGCTCACACCACACACACCCACGCCCTCCCGTTTCCTCGGCACCCGTTCTCACACCCACAGCGTCACGCTCCAGGACCGGAAATGTGCGCCGTGGGGACAGGGTTGGCCGAGGCTGACCCAGCAGAGACCCAGGGGAATTTCTGGCACCAATCACCTCACCGCCAGCCAGGGCACTCTCTGGGCCGGGCAGCCAGGACTGAGGGGATCTGAGAGGTTCCCCGGGCCTGGGGAAGGTGTGGCGGGCAGGGGAGCTGGGCCCTGCCTTGGGCTCTACACTCATTCCCCTACCCTAGGGGTGCCGGGGTCCCTGCCCTGGGAGCCCTTCTGCCCTCTGAGGAGGAGAGTGAGGGCTACGGGACCTCCACCTCTCAGGTCTGGTGGCCCAAGGCAAGCTGCCCTCCTGCGATCGGCGTCCTCATCAGGAGAATGGGTGGGGAGGAGTCACTGGATTCCTAGGGCCTGTGCCTGCGCACAGACTTTGCAACACCCAGACATTTGCTACATTTTGCAAGGGGCCGGCCTTTCCCCTCCAGCCCCCCAGGAGCCGGCAGGATGCAGGTGAGCAACACCCTGCTCCCAGCTCATTGTCCTCCTTCCAGCAGCGCCCAGGGTCCTCAGCCTCTTCTCTGCCCAACACTCCTGTCCCTTTCTGTGCCCAGGGTGTGTAGGGGGCAGGAGGGCAGGACTGGGGCGGGGCTGAGGGATGCTCTGCCAGGGGGTGCGAAGGGCCAGGGGCAACTAGTCGAGGTTCTGGGGTTCAGGGAGGTGTTGGGGAGTCCACCCGCAAGATCCCTTGCTCCAGGTGTCAGGGGGGCCTCTGAACCCTCGGGTCTGTGGGGCTTGGCTCCTATTGGGCCCCACAGGCCAGGCCAGAGGCCTTTGGTGTCTATCCCCAGCCCTTCAAACGGATGGACGGGCGGGCACCCGGGCTGCCGTCCTGCCTAGACTACTACTACTCC